AGACTAATAAGAAACTCCCTGCCTGCTTCTGAAAAGGTTTTCGTACTATTGTCATAGCCAATCCACCCATCTGTTTCACTAAGTATAACGGTTAGTAAATTTGTTAAAATCATTTTGAAATCGTTTAGGTTTTTAGCCTCCATAAGTAATCTTAAACATCTTACATAAAACTCTTTAAGATGTTTTCTCTTTTGTCCAATTAAACATTTTATATGACAAAATATTTTCATCATATGTGCGATATCTATTCTTATGTAACATTTAGGGAGCTGTACAGTTTGATTGGATAAAAATAAAAAACAGTTTTCTATATATTTCTTTAGACTTAATCCTTCACAAAAGGAACGTGTCAATGCTCCAAGAAGTGCCCTTGAATAGTCGCAAATAGCTTCATGTGGAGGTTTAAGTGCCACTTTATTCCATTAACTTATCCAACGGAATATACTTAGAGGGTCGTGGCTTTCGGATAGCATCTGAGTTACAGGAATTTGTCCATATGTTGTACTAAGAACTGCTTCATACAGAAAAATATTGTTAGACGTAATATTAAGACTAGATTTTTTGAACTTTTTAATCAAGCTACCCGTCGCGTCAATAGATAAACGGCTTAAGTATATCATAGTATTTCAGTCCTCGATGTTTGTCTTTGTATGGTACACGGATAGGTTTAATTGTTAAGAACACCTCAAAGGGAATTGATAATTGAAAAATGATTTTATTTTTATCAGGTGTATTAGATGAATTTTCCGAGTCAGAAGAACTTTGTATAAATGTGGATTGTTCGATTACAGGATTGATCCCAAGTAATTCTTTTAATTTTCTCTGCCAACCATGTCTATCTTGGTAAACCATAATATACAGGGAGTTGGCTGGTATTTTATTTTCGATGTCATTAGAAATTTTGGTCTAAATGCTATTTGATATTGGTTTAAGTGACCCGTCTATATTCATAACCTTAGATTTATTTTCTTGGAGAAGATTATATATAACTTCTGGATCTACTAGTGGTTTTCTTCCAGGATTATTTTTTCCCTAAAATATAAGCAAATTTAACGAAAAATATTAAAAAGGAGAAGAATAATATTATATGTAAATTATGAAAATACTATTATTATTTTAGCCTTTTTTTATTAAGTCAAACGAGGAATGTAATGGTTTTATCATGATGTGTTTTTTTTTAGATTATGATTGAATTATTTTCTAGAGAAAATAAATATAAATAAATTGAAACTACATTTATTTATTGTTAAAATTTAAAGTTTTTATTGAAAAGAGAAATTTGAGAATATATATGGGCCTGAATGTATAACCAACGAAATAATTGTTTTTCATGCCATTATACTTTTGAACATGTGCAACAAAACCCATAACCCCCACCTAAATGTACCCTTGATTACAAATCTACAAAATTTAGCTACCCCTTCTATAAGTTATAATATTTTTGAATTGTGTATTTCTACTAATATTGGTGAAATAAGAGTACACATGATAGACACAAAAATAATTTTAAATATTTAAAAAACTTACCTTATTATCCATAATTGATTGAAATAAAATATTATATAACACTAAAAGAAACACGACTATTCCAATAATAGCGCAGGCAATTGAATGAGTAGTAATAAGCAACATTTTCCGAACAGTATCAAATATAATATAATTAAAAATAAATCTTAGAAAACCATATTATTTATATGAATGTCTAAATTTAGAAAAATGGTATGTTATTGTTAATTCTAAAAACCAATGAGAATCAGTAAATACTCAGAATTCACTTTTTGTTGTAATATAATTTAGTAACAATAGATATGTCCATTATTTTCTTTATCATGACAATGTTTGATAAATGTATTTTTGAAATCATTTTTGAACTCGCAGATAAACGCAGATGATGGCGTACAGCGACCATAGGCGGACATCAATAGGGGGGCTGATACCCCTCCAAATATTTTAATAGCCTCTTCAAAATCGAAACTTTGATAGAAATACCTAATCTGCGGGTTATTTTACATTAAATTATTATAGCCTCCCCAAAAATTCATCTAAATGTTCACCTATGACAATGACTAATGACGGCGCGGTAACACGGAAATTATTTTCGTGAACCTAGTTTCAATAGTGTCTATAATACGTGGCCTACTCTCCTTGGCCCTTTCTGTCCAACAAGCCAAAATATTACATGTTACGCTGTGTCCAACGTGAACGCGGTGAACGCAGTGAACGCAGTGAATACAATTATCAAACATATAAAACTAGATTAGATTGTTCATCGTACGCGATAAACGCAGGCGACCATTGGCGCCGATCCCTATATCCAGGTATTCCAGTTGTAATACCTGTTAGGGATGGGTGTGATAATCATGTGAATTATACTGGCTAACATTATATTTATTTATGAAATTTATAAATTATTTTATTCATCATCATACCTAACATTATGATAAATCTAAACGCTAATCATTAAATGTACTTATTATTGCAAGAAGTTATTAAAATTATAGAAAAAAAATTGAGGGCCGTTGCTCAACCTACTGTGAGTAGGTGGGTGGGTCTTTCTTTGCAGGTATGCTTTGCAATACCTCTAAAAATTGATTCGGCGCCACTGCAGGCGACTCGAACGAATTAATTCAATTGCGTTCACCGCACGGTTTGAAAATCAAATCGTTTTGTTTTTGGTTACGCGTTTAAGCGAACAGCGTTCATCAAAAACATAGGACACGATTACGAGCGTCGAATGCGGCCAACGCGTTCACGTTGGACACAGCAATAATATAAAAAAATATTATAATAAACAATATAATATAATAATAAACAATAGTTATATTGTTATATAGTCAATTTATAATAACAAACAAAGATAACGATATCTATAAAATATATAATATTTTTATTTTTAAATAGTTATTATTTACAAGTAGTTGTTTTTCTTTAAAGGGAGACGCAGTCAAACCCCTGGTTCTCTGACAATTTACAAATTCCAAAATTGCATTTACAATTATTTACAATTTAATTTACAATTATTTGGAATTAGTTTGAAACCGATAGGACAAAGTAGGGGGGGGGGGGGCTGCGTGAAGTTGGCCCCCCCCATTTTGATTTTGATTTTGTGACTTTCTTGGGGATTTACAAATTCCAGAATTGCATTTGCAATTATTTACAATTAATTTACAATTATTTGGAATTAGTTTGAAACCAATAGGACAAAGTGGAGGGGCCAACTTCACGTACGTTATTTTTAGGTGTTATTTTTTTTTCTTTTTTCTTTTTTTGTATCTTAGTAGGTCTCTATGCCACTGTCTTTTGAGTCGTCTTCGCATAATACCGGGAAGTGAAGGGGAGGATAGTTTGATTAATGAATTACTGCGAGGGTTTAAGTTGATATGAAATTTAAAGTTATATAATTTTGCCAATTGATAAAGTGTAGGAATTTTTAGGTCTTTGTTAACATCATTATTCGTTAAATAACAAGGACAAGATGTTACTAGACGTAAGCAGATGGATTGAAACGCTTGAAGCGTTTTGGTATTGAACGGCTTTGCAGAATTCCATACCTTAATATGTATGTTCAAGCAGATCAAATTATTGACTTTTATACGGAAAGCTTATTGAATTTGGAGTGTTTGGATTTCAAAAGTAATCTGAGGAGGTGAAACCTAGAGTTAAAATTGTTACGCTTAATTCCTATGTACGGGTCCAGGTTAAACGTTAAAAATTAGACCAAGATAATTAACTTAATTTGTCTTTATAATTGTTTAACGATTATTTAACTTGACATTCGATAGATCAAAATTTCTGAGTAAAAATGTTATTTTGATCGATTTAGATTCGTTAATTTTGATTTTCGCCCGTTTACCCTATAAACTTAATCATATTTGAATGGTTTTGAATGTTATAGATATTCAGTAAAATTATACGACTAAATCTGGTTCTATATCAAACTGGCATTATAATTTAATACAGAACAATGAGTGACAATAGTTGGAATAGAAATAAAAAAAAAAAGAATATCTGTAGAAAGAATATAATAGAGTTTTCTAAAATCGAATTCAATAAAACTTGAAAATAACAAGTTAAAGGACACCATGTTATATTCCATCTGTCGTGTGATTTTCTTACGTCACGTTGAGTTATTACGATATGACCGTATTTTGATTAGAAACTCATATCGGATAAATATAGAATATAGCATGTTATTCATAAATATATTTACATATAGAATGTTTTATTTACAGTGCCATCACGTGATATATGACCAGATTTACAGTTGATCGAAATCAAAAAAAAAAATTGTATAGGGCTTCTAATCGTTTGATGGATTTATTCGTGAATATATTAATTATTAATCGAAAAAATTTTAAAACATTCACAGTGATACAATAGTTGTACAATGAAAGTTTTATACATTGTTGAAATCGTATAGTCAGAATCATATTTAGCGGTGGTAGATTGGGATTTTCAAATTTCGACCACCCAGGATAAAAAAAATAGACATTACTCTCGAATTAAAATATACTAGAATTTAAATCACAAGATTTCGGTAAAAACAAAATTAGAAAATCGGATTTAAAAGTCATAAATAATTTGCTGCTTAAATTCATGAGAAAAGGACATTGGTTTATCTTATATATCAAGTTTTTTTTTTTTTTTTTTAATTTGTCTTTGTTCGCATATTACAGCAAAAAATATCAAGTATTAACTGTATGTATGGTATTTATATTGTATTGTGTATTTTAACTCGTAATAGATAAATAATTGTAAAAAAGCGATTTTCGATTGTAAATCAGATTTTTTTTTTCTATAATAATAAATCGATGTTCAATGATGATATCGTAAAAAACAAACTTAAAAAAAAAAAAAAAAAACTGAACAACCGCCCACGCGGTTAACAACCGCCTACGAACAACTGCATCCTTCATCCTTTCGCTGCATTATTACGTGCATTATATGCATTATCTACGTTTATCACTCGTTTGCATTGTACGTTCCACGTCTGTCCGCAGCGTACCCGCCATGGTGTCGGACCGGGGTGGCGACCTGTTGACCGTGCCCATGATAACCAACGAGCGGCGGCGGTCCAGTTGCAAGCTGAACATCTCGCCGGTGAGCATCCAGACGAGGCTGTACGCCGCGAAAACCGACGGCGGCAGCTGACCGAACCACCCCCACGAGACGCCGGACAACTGAACGCGGCGGAGTGGTCGCGGAGAGACGGTGCCGGGCAGCGCTATTAAAGAATGGAGACTCTGTTGGCTTGAGAAAAAATTGCGCCCCCAAAACTTGTTAAACGTTATAATCGTAACGTAGTTGGGGGACGCTAAGATTTCCAAAAAATTAGAAGGGTTGCACCCGGCGTCGGCAGTTCCGTTCGATTCGGATCCGGTCGCGTTTACACACAACACGAAACACTGTCCGGCATACCGGTCCATTTCTATCATATCGATTGTACGCGGCGAAAATTTCATCGCCGTCGGTCGACACGAGAGTCGATCGCGTGCACGGTGGTGCGTTTTAAGTTTTCACGGGCACTAATGTTTTCGTTTTTTATTTTTATTTTCTCTCCGCTCTCCGTTGGGGACGGTCCCTCCGAGTCGTCCCCGTGCACCCTTCCCCGCCGGTAACGCCCCGCTAGCTGTGCAATTGTCGCACGACCGTGCGACGAGGGATTAGATTTTCTTTACGGTTTCCATTCTTACGTTTTACTGCGTCCAAACGAGTATAACCGCTGTAAATATTATATGTAGCCTTTTTTTTTTTTTTTTGAACTGTAAATAAAAATAATTTTGTAAATTTTACTTCAGCTTTTAGAGCCATGAAGGTTAAAGAATATCGTACTTTTTACGACTTTCAGGGTTATTCATTTGAAGATTAGAATATTACACTGTGTTACGATCACAGAATCAACGAATTGTAACGTTAATTTATTATTTTTTCAATTTTAACTATACAGTTTAATTCATATATATATATATATATATATATATATTTATAATTATATTCATGTATACCTTCGATTTATTGTAATATTAGCTGTTAAAATAAAATTTTTTAGCAATATGTAAATCTAAATGTCCACAACAGTATTTTCTATAAAACTATTTTATTATCTTCAATTTTTAGGATAATTTATTGTATGAGCTCGCAAAATTACGAGTCAAATTGTATAAAATACTTAGAAAATAAACGGTAATTATAAAAAAGCAAAAACCAACACATTATTATGCTTGCAATTTTTATTGAAGATTCTACGAAAATTAAAATTAAATTTAAAAAACAATTATTATTTTTATTCGCGAAATCAAAAACCAAAATTAGCATTTAATATTTAGGAAAATAAAAAAAGTATGATAAACGGTTATTGTATTTTCATTTTAAAAATAAAACAGCTTTGTAATAAATAATCAGGAGATTTCACGCTGAATATTTGTTTATAAAGCTTTTGAATTTTTTTTTTTTTCATGCGGAACTTTAAATGTTGTTTGATATGCCATGTACAAAATGGAAAACTTGATAAGTCAATTTTAAAAAGAAAAACATTTTTTCCCTTCGGTTATAAAAACAGTTTATTTTACTCGGAAAGTTATTAATATATAAATTACTTATGATACATCATTGTTTTAAATATTTTACATCTAATGTAAAATGGGACAAAGAACGAAAATGTAAAATTTGGACGAATCTTTATCCTTCGTTTGTCGTTTGATGCAAATCTAGTAAATGCGTATGGCAAACGTGTAATGTAGATCGACTTAAATGTATATCACTGAGAGTATATGTACAGTTCTAAATGAAATTTAAATACCTATTAACAAACGTATAACACAACGCAGAAGGTAATTTCGCAATACAAATTTGATACGCAACGACGAGAAAAAAGAAATATTAAACGAACGTGAGTGTATACACACAGGATGGTTCAAAAGACGAGGACTGTGTTCATTTTTGACAGTCAATTTATAGGTGCTCTTTGAACGATATTGAATCGTATAGTTATAACGAAGTTTTTCGCAAAATATGATATTTGAGAAAACTTTTTTTAAATTTTATTAATAGTATAATTGTTTGCATATATATAATGTATGTGTGTGTGTGTGTGTTGGTTATGTAGCTTAAAACATATAAAATTGTACACATTAAACATTCTTGTTACACCTCGTTGTACACGCAGAAATCCCGGGCGTGATGCATCACGACTTTGATTGCCGGGCCAATATAATTGGTTTCCCTGAAAATGTCTTTAGCTCATTATTCCGACTTTTACGGTTTAAACAATTAAGAGGACCCCACACCCTCAGGTATTGTCTCCGTCTGATATACGTACAACATAGTAGGTTTGCGTTCAATAGTTCAAATGTAGTAAAGGTAACATTAATATTAGAATAAACTGACCAATAATCAAACTTTAAGGGAAGAACATTATCTGTGTTTTGTTGGTCGGTTTCTTCGGATATTTTAATATTTTAGAGAGTTATAAAGTTTTTTCCAATTATTATAATTTACATGCTCATAACACGCTTAAAAATTAAAATATCGGAAAAAACCGACCAACAAAACGCAGATAATGTTCTTCCATTAAAGCTTGATTACAGGCCAGTTTACTCAAATATTAAAGCTAACATCACTACATTTGAACTACTGAACACAAATGTACAATGTTGTACGTACGTCGGACGGAGACTACACATGCGAGTGTGATGACCTCTTAATACTAGTGAGAAAATTGGCTGCATCCTAATTGGGTCCCGAATTTGAAATTGCTCCACTAGTTGAGTTCCGGATTTTTATAGGCACTACACTAGTTGGGTCCCGAATTTTTATAAGTACTACACTGGTACCTGAATATTTTTTGGTAAGTACTATATTATTAAAACATTTTCCTTTCCATTTTAACAGACTTAGAACGGTCTATGATCTATTTAGACCACAGGTATGGTTAAATAGATCATAAACAGTCCTAAGTATGTTAAAATGGGAAGGAACATTTTTAGTAAAATGTAGTACTTACCAATAAACATTCACAAACTAGTGTAATACCTAAAATAATTCAGGACCCAACTACTAGTGTAGTACCTACAAAAATCCGGGACCCGAATTTTTTTGCAGGTAAAAATAATTTAGGTGTAAACTCGGCTTGGATAAAAATGTACTTGTGATTTTCTTATAATATTTTTAAGAACCATTTAGCACTACCCAGAGGACACTACGAGGGGTCGATTCTCATTATCCTCCGAAAATTATTTTCATTGTCATATTATTGTTCATATCATGAAATTCGTTATATAATTAATGTAAAATGTATTCATGTAAATGTCTAAGCGTAAAAGATCTAAAACTATGAGTGAAGCTGTTGAGTAAAAATATGAGTGAAAAATTTTATCGCAATAGTTTACGAATCTATTTTTTTTTTTTTTTTTTTAAGTAAAAATCCATGTGTTTAACGTGTTCACTCGTAAATATTATGCGGCCGAGATTATACAACCGACCGTTTTTATTACCTAAAATTTTCGGGGCCGAATTTACAACATAATAGGTAATCGCGTTTACATTTGCCCAATAGTACACTACCTGCGGTTAGGCCCTAGTACTCGGGACCCAACTCGGATGCTCCGAGAAAACGGCGGCACGTAATATCATGTAAACGCGTTGCGTGACACAGCACACGGGTACTTCAACGTATATACGTCAGCCGTACTACGGCCGTTAGTCATCCGTCGCGAAAATTTTTTTTTTTTTCTTATGGTCTAACCCACGGCTCAGGCGAATCGATTTGTTCGATTTATTTATTTTCTTGTACTTCGGCTAAGGAATCGCAAACGTACGCATCGACGTGATATTCATGTTCACATCGATCGCGGTCGACCGTGCGGCATTGTGTATTCGTTACTGTTTCGTAGTACTCGCGTTCAAATATTACGCATAGACTCCCGTCCAAATCGTAACGCCGTCGCGGACGCTCGTCCGCAAACGGACAATCGTGCGGTGATAAAAAATGAAAAAAAATAAATAAATATATAAAATACTGTACACGGAAAACGCGAACGTTCGGCTGATCGATGTTGAGCGTTACGGTTCACGGAAACGCTGATAGTCCGTCTCGTTTTCCGCTCGAACTTTCGACGGACCCGTTTAGCGCTGCGCGTGCTGTAAGCTGCGGTAGCTTTGGTCTTTCCCATCCCCGCCGTCGCCGTAAAAGTGCTTCGTATCGCTCAACTCAGCAGATTATTCCGCGCGTTTTCGTACTTTTCGCCCGCCCCGTCCGGCGTTTCGAACGTTATTGCGAACCGTGCCCGTGTAGCGTAGTCCGTGCCAGGGCCGTCCCGAAGATGAAAATCAACTGGGACGAATAATACGAAAAATGCCGACTGCAATTCTTTTACTCGATGTATGTAGCATATATGATTAACTTATACGTAGTATTTTTACTTTTTAACGTGTATTTACGTGTCAGTGTCGCGCGTTCTTAAAATTTACAATTTCGTTATATATATATATATATTTTATATTGCATAATAGTGGTCATATAAATTTTATTCGTGTAGGTATGCACTGTATTACGAAATATGTAATATTTGTTTTCCGCGAGTAAAATTAAGACCTTCTAGGCTATAATGAAACAAGTCCGACTGCCGAATGGTGTTTTTTGTTAAAAGGGTGAGACACCCTCCCGAGACCCCCCTTCGGGACGGCCCTGGTCCGTGCGAAATACTTGAACATGCGTGCGCGCGCTTTTACCCCGAACGTGTCCCCGGTCGTATGCCGTGCGGTACAACTCAATGCTCATTTAATATGCATAAAATCAGACGAATAAATCATTTTTATCGGGTTTATCGGGGCGCTGTCGTGAAATTTCATAACACGATGTCAGAACGATACAAAACACCAAACAGGTAGGTAACATCTATTATGATGCGTGCGTTCATAATAATCATATGCGCAGTGTCGCCACCAGGATTGATATTCGGAGGCGTGGGGGTGGGGTTGTGAGTTTGGAAAAAAATAAGCATTTTCCGCAGGTGTTTGGTGGGGATAAGGAAGTAAGATTTACTGAGGTTAATGAGTTAAATGTTTAAATTACAAGTTAAACCAAGTTTAACCAAATTCTATTTCGTATTGTGATATCATCGGAAAAAAAGTATTTTACGATCGATTGTGGAGAAATCGTATTAGCAAGGGTATTGATGTTTTAAAGTTGAACGGAACGTTACAAAACGTTTCATATCGTCATGTCATTATTGTTATCAATTATAATACGAATAATATTCATATTTCATTTCAATCAGCCGTTTCGTGTGTTCAAGATAAACCGTTTTTTTTCCTACGTAGAATTTATGAAAATCTCAGACCCCACCCCTAGTTGCGCCACTGCGTACGCGATAGGATATCTGCACTAGTCATGGGAATAATCGAATGATTTTAATAATCAAAATAATGGTATCACACATATTTAGCAAAAGCAAATTAATTGAATTGTTCGAAAAAATTGCGCGTTTTACCCGTTGCCCATTGGGAATACTAAATTAAAAAATCGACTGTCCATCAGTATTCCACTATTATTTGTTTTCAACCGTTGTTATAACTCCCTGTATCGGTAATCGGCACACTAATTGGTTTAATACATATGAATATTTGGATTGAAAATGTATTTCACCTTCACGCTTATGGATAATAATTTGACTATTCGATTGTTTTGATTTCGTTTACTGATCATTCGATTGCTCTCATCACTAATCTGCACGCCTCTTATTTCGCGCGGCGAAAAGCGTTTGATTTTTATTTATTTTCGGCCGTTTAAAATTGCTTACCTTCGGTATGCAAAAGGTACTACATTAAAATCTTTGGTCAACTCGCCCCACAACTATGTTCACCCGACGTGATAAATCACACGACTAATTAATTTCCAACGTAATTTCCAATCTACTATAATTCATTG